CTGGGACGGAAGACGTATTAAAAATGATTTAATTCTATATGCAGTGTAGTATACTTCAACACCTACCTAATAGGTTACATCTGAATAAAATGTGTAGGTCATAAAAATAAATAATAAATKTATTGTAAATTTATACTTCGTTCAATACTTTAACGAAACATATTAGATCCGGTTGATATACATATAGGTAATAGCTGATTTATCAATGAATTGAGATATGTGTTTTTACAATACTACGATATTAATAATCATTTAAACCATGGAAACATTACAAAAATATGATGATAAATAGATGAAAACATAAATTGTGTAAATAGTGCTATAATATAATATACAATACGCACATTGGCAATATAATATTAATAGTATAACTCACATTTATTTTATTTTCGAAATAATTCTCCTTTTAATCCGAACCGTACAGTAAAACGTTTAGTTACCGTTGAGAATTAATGTCGTTATTTTGAAACTCATCGGTACTCAATAATTAATATTTCTATAGCTAAGTCATTAAAAAATATAAATATTATATTATACAGATTTCTTATGATACGTCGTTGGTATAGAAATATAGGTATTTAATGCAAAATAGAGTATTTTTTTCTCATACAGTATACAGTGTACATATCAATATTATATTTTATACCTATGTACAAATTATTATTATTGTTATTGACTTTTTTTTCTCGAATTTACATATAATACATGTTTCAGTTAAGTCCGCTGATGTGTAAAAACACCCTTTTTTTATTGTAGATATCATTTTTTTTTTCATTTTATATTCATACGCATATATTATGTAGAATAAACGAAAATAAATAAATCACGAACTCGTTTTGGCTAGTAAGTATATAGATCGAACACTATACATAAGTCTATACAACATATATAAATATGTATGTATTTATATAAATATTGGGACATACGTTATACACTTTTGCGGAAAAAAATTCAATGAAACTTGTATTATGTTATATATTATTTCTTTTGAAGCAACGAAACATATTACGATTTTATTATATTTTAGTTTCGTTCATTGTTATAAAAAATATATCTTTTGTATCGACACCTACTTTGTTGATATGTATTATTATTGTTATTCGTAAACAGGTATTGATGTGTCGTTAGTCTAGCGCATATTATCATCACGTAGAATGTATATTGACTATTTATTTTATACGACTAAACGATATTCAAATTTTCATCGATATCTGCATTTGGYGTCAAAATAAAAGTATATGAGTATATTATACTAGAATTTATCTCACCAAATTCCCCAAAAAGTCCAAACATTACAGGTAGAATTGATATTTACATATTATTACAAATGACATTAAAAATACGTATAATACCTGAGCAATTTTCAACAATAACATAACTTTATAATGATTTTATTATACCTACCTAGGTATATTGTAATGTCAACATAAAGACTCATACTCGTTTATTTGCGTAATTTAATGTTTTATGTATGTTTTGAGAAGAGACAACGCAACAGACGTGTAGATGCCTACATCTTTTAAAACCTATTGTTCATATTCGAAATAGTGAACAAATGTTTATTTTCCTACTGAATTCGCTATACATAGGTGTACACGAATGCACTTGTATTTCTTTTAAATTAGTGCAATGAGTAGGACGCAGCAACGGATAAATTAGTATAGAAATGTGTGTCTAAATTCTTAAATATATCTGTGGTTAGAGTATTATTACGATCACAAGATTATACGAGAAATTAGGCATAAATAATTTTTTGTGCGATTTCACGTGGGCAAACTGGAATCTCATTTTAATCCCCGTGGTTTTATATAGTCAAATTTATGGCAATTGGCAGTTAATCATGTTGAAAACAAAACATAAACYTCTTTTATAACTTTATTKGGGTCTTGCAATAGAATTTTACAAAGTATAATACTGTAAATCATAATGTTTTTAATGTTTATAGACGTAGATGTGAAGTACAGTACAAAATAAATCTGAAATTTAATATTGTAGTTATATTTTTTTAATTTTTTTAATTTAATTTACCCTCGGCAACATAGGTCATTGGGTATAGGAAGGGTACTGCAGGGTTTTAAGTTGGGTAGGTTTTTGATACACGTGTGTGTATTTTTGACAGAATTTGTAGTGGGCACCCGTAGGTTTCTTGGCCATGCCCTGTAGTTATATGGTTATGAATTGTATTCTAATATATACAATATTATATTGTTGTTCCGTTTATGATGTACCTATTATCTAATATCTATGATAAACGTGGATAAAAAATATTAATTTTTTTAAGATTAATTAGGCACCTATCAGTATTYACTATTTATTATAAAATGAAGTTATAAATAGCGATTTAWTACAATATCACGGACTAGATTGATTTAAAATTAAAAATGATATAGGTATCAGAATATTTTTATTCGTTTTTTGTGTTATAGGGTGATTGATTTATCAAACAACACTAATTATTTCAAAAAGTATTGACTTTTTTCAAAATATTTTTTTACATGGTTTCAAGTTGTTAAAAAACCAACGTTTTTATTAAAAAATTATATTTTTAAATATTTTTTAAGATTTTTACTTTTTTGAATGGCAACATAGAGTTTTAATTTCATATTCCAAAGCAGAATATTTTTCTAAGTATTTTGATATATAAAAATCGAATTTGGGGCTAGTAGTTTATGAGTTATAAGTATTTAAAGTTTAGATTGGCAGACTGGAGTGGTCGGGGTTATCCCGCAAAATGTTTGTCCACTACTCCGCTTGTCAAAACTTTAAATACTTATATAACACCTAAACTACTAGCCCCAAATTCGATTTTTATATATCAAAATACTTAGAAAAATATTCTGCTTTGGAATATGAAATTAAAACTCTATGTTGCCATTCAAAAAAGTAAAAAACTTAAAAAAATGATAAGGATAAAAAATATAATTTTTTAATAAAAACGTTGGTTTTTTAACAAATTGAAACCATGTAAAAAAATACTTTGAAAAAAGTTAATACTTTTTGAAATAATGAGTGTTTTATGATAAATCAATCACCCTATGTCACATCCTATAATGACTAACTATAATGCGTTGTTTCATCCTAATAAAACCATGTTGATCTAAAACTAAGTTCTTTATTGCATAAAATAAAAATACCATTTCTATTATATACCCTGCATACTATATTATTATACCAACTACCATCGTACYTATTATATTGTATATTTTAAAATTATATTTTTTTGCATTTTAGAACCGACTTTTAGAAGTGAATAGTGATGAATTCAAACATGTTGCGTTATTACGTTTTATGCATSGTTAKGAATTGAAAAACATTTATAATAGAACAGTTTACGAACATAAATTACGATGTGCCACACGAATGCCTTCGTTGTTAAAGTTTATTGCACACACACACAAAACAATTTGTTTAAAAACTGACCTTACACAATATAAACGCGGTAAATACGGCAATAACATTGAAAATACCTTTCATATTTTAATCTTTGTTTTAAATAATTTACAGTTTTACTTATTATAATTTTACAAGTTTAAATAATGATGCATAGGGGAATTAAATTCATATTTTTATAGTACATTTTAGGTTACTTTAATTTCAGATAGAAACTTATTTAATATTTTTAAGTAAAAGATTTTTAAATAATATATATTATAATAGTAATAAAGYGTTTAAAAAAAATTATTCAAAACACAATCAACTACACCCAGTAAAAAGTGTATGTCTATGGTTTAAATATTTATTAACATAATATGTACCTAATATAGTAATACCTAAGTAATAAAACTTAATTATTTATGACTTAAACATCACATTTTCTAAAGTAACCCACATTCCTTAATAATTGTATAATTATTATTATTTGTCATTATCTTATATCACAATATTTTATTAAAATAATGCATATTTATGGTGGTCTAACAAAATATATTTATTTTATGTATTTTGAAACATTAAATAATACATTCCGTAGTGATGGCTAAAAACACGGACGTTGGACATCATAATATCATATAACTATTAAGTACCAATACGAATGTAACTTGAAAAAAAAATATAGAACACTTAAGCTAATTAAATAAAATTATTAGGTTATTATATTAGTACAGAATAACTGGGCTAGGTTTGAAGATAAATTAAAAAAAAAAAATCATCATTCAAATAAATTGTTAACGGTTTTAATATATTAAGTATATATAAAAAAAAAAAACTTAACTATCAGCTCTTGAATAAGTTAATTGTTTGAATATTTCCCTTTTACTGATTGGTGTACTTTATTCGATCACGAAAATATTTGGTACAGTTCATGATAGATTTCTATAAAATTTTAATTGTTGGAAGATAAAGATTTTGAAATATTCACCATAGTCTAGCTCATCTTAACCGGTTTATATAAAACTAACAAAAAACAGGATTATCTACTTTTGTAACAATTCAAAATAAACATCTGGTCAAAAGAATTTCATTTTGTGTTTTATCAGTTTTTAGCAAAAATTATAAGAACGTTTTCTCTTGTACATCTATTTCCMCTATCTACAATCTACATGGTGCACATAATTATTAATGTAAATCAATTTGAAAAATAAATGTCCAAAAAATTTAAGTCACTGAAATATTTTTATAAATATAAAGATACAAATATTACCCGAAACATAAAAAATAATAATTTAATTAAATGTAAGTAGTTCAATAGTACGCTATTATTTTTTAATAATAAAAGTATGATTATTATAAATAATTAACAAAATAAATACTAACAATATTTTCACCAAGTACAATTCTTAATAAAAAAAGTTTTAGTTTTGAAAAAAACGTTTAACTTTCCCATATTTACCGGTCTGTACTCGTAGTTAGACTGTATACAACATGCATATGATAGGTATAGTACTATAAAGAAAACTCACAAATCGTGAAACGCATCGATTAAAAAAAAAAAAAATTATACGAAAAAAATTTCAGCCCACAGTGATTTATAAGGAAATAGATAAAAATATGATAAATACCTTCATTATATTGTTCGAGGTAAATGGTTTCGTGCAAAAAAAAATAATAATAATAAATGAAAAAAAAATAAGAAACACTACTAAGCACGCGCTCGCGCACGCACACACACACACACTATCTCTCACACACACACTACCAAAAAAAAAATACAAATTGGTACGTACTGCGGTATGCTGTATCTATACGACAATGTTATATATATATATTATTGTAACACGTGTAATATTAATTTATTAATTGTTATTATTGTGCGTACGTCGGAAACGTGTGATGTTCGAAAACCGGACACCGGAAATAAAATTTTAAAAATCCTTCAGCGCCAAAAGCGCGGGAAATCGAAAATGTTTTTCCGGCACAGAAGTCGTCGAACGCGAACTCTGGATTTCCCAGATGAATAGGTACGCGTGTAGTCCGCGAACGACGTATTGCAAAAAACGACGGTAGACACGACGACGACGAAATCCAGKATCGGGGACACGTGACACGGACCAACACACGGCTGACTGAAGTGAAAATTGTTGCGCGCGGTGGCGGCGGCGATGCGATGCGATGCGATACGGATTCGCGCGGTGCGAAAAAATCCGCCCCTCCCYGCTCCCCACCAATCAAGAGTGCATCGAACGCGGCGCGCGGGGTAGGGGACAACGACGACGGTGGCGGCGGTGGTGGCAGTGGCGTCAGTGGCGGCAGGTGTAGGTACACACAATAATATTATTATACTGCGACAAATATAAACAATATATTATATTGTTATGGAATTCAGTAATTGTAATTATTGTCACTGCCGTCACGCGTATATATTGTATATAATATTGTAAGACGTGCCTAACGTAAGCTCACCCCGCTCGGAATTGTTTTGGTTTTTTTTTGGATTGGGTGGGTGGTGGGGGATGGGGGTGTTGCACTTGGCACGCGGCTAGCGCGTAAATTAGTATAATATCTAATGTCGAGACATCGAGTCCGTCGTTACTCACCTCTGCGCGAGTCTCGATGCTGTTGGTGGCGTCGGCGCCGACCGGTAGACGCCGAACGACTATCGTCGTCTCCTGCAGGACGGCGCGCGGTCTGTCGTCTGCGCTTTCGGCGGACGGAGACCCGGTGGCGGCGAGGCGTCGGTGGCGGCGGAGTCGTTCTTCGGCCGTGCCGGTTTACACACTGTGCCGCGGCGACGACGACGACTGAGACGACCGGAGCGCGAGACGTGTTGCCATGTGGAACGTTGACGGGACACTATTATTATTATTACTATTACTATCAAAGCAATAATAATCATAATACCGTACCGCGGATGGAGGTGTACCATACGGGCGCGTGGTGTCCGTCCGTACGCGTCTCGAGACGGCGGCGGAGACGTCACACGTCATAACAAGACGACGAGGAGGCGTGACGTCACTGTTTTTGACTGAGTGGTTGGAGGGGGGGGCGTCGTATATCGATCGGACCTGACTTTACGTCACTGCTGCCCGACGACTTATGGAATGGGCGGCGCAGTTGTATAATAATAATAATAAGTATAATATTATTATAATACTAATAATATTATTATTATTATTATTATTATTGTTATTATAGCTGTAGTAACGGTCCGACGACACGTCATCGACGACGCCACCGATGCCATCACCGCCATCGCCACCGGCTCACCTTCGACGGGRTTTTCCTACGAGGGGTTTAGGGAGGGTTTAATCACGTTGAGTGAGGTAGGTTTAGTTGCGTGTACAATATCGCCGGACGTACTGTTATCGGCTGCGGGGTCGCGACTGGCCCGCGGGGGCTGCAGGATAGCCGCAATGACGATCGTTTGGAAAACCGCGACGCGTTGAAAAATATTATACCTATACGATTATTATTGTTTTGTTATCGATATATTTCCGCCGTCGTCGCCGCACTTACTGTTCAATAATGATAATATAGTGTCTGCGTGTATTGTAATCGCAATGGTTGAATGGTGTATATATATATATATAATAATGTAAAGTAGTAGGTTCGCTTTCGATTTAATCCGTATACGCATTATTCGTATACATTACCCGTCAGCGGTCTAAATATGTATATATATATATAGGTATGCACCCAACTAATTTATTAAACATCAGACCGTAATTTAACGCCAAAAAATCATCTGAAAATTGCCATAGATAGGAAATAGGAATATTATTACATAGCATTATATCCGCCGACTGCTGTAAAACGGTCTTATATTTACCTGTAAATATACAGTCTTTCATAGTGACGTACATTACGATTACGCTATTATACTTATAGCATTCGCTGGCTGAAGTGAAATGGCGAATGACCTCTATCCGAATGCCACGTCCAAGACAAAACAAATAAAAGCCCACGACTCTTATGTTATTTTAATTATATTACATTATATACACCTATATAAATAAATAATAATATGTATCAGGTAGTATACTATATTACTATTATTACCCGATATTGTATGAAATATGTGCTTCTCTACTGATTTGAAAGTTTGGAAAAAATGTAGAAAAATACCAGACGAATTAAACGCGTTTTGTGACTCGTTTGTTTTCATTAAAATTCTAGGATTTATGTTTTGATTTGCAAAATCATTATGGAAAACTTGTGATGTTCAACAAAATTTAATGCTAGAATGCCTATATACCAGTATTTTCTACAATATTAATATGTTTAACATGATATGAATAAATGTGACACGGTGAATACAATATAYATTACAATTATTAACATTTATATAGGATCGAAAAAAAACTCGTTAGAAACCATATTATGGGTCTTAATTTAACTCAAATAAATAAAACTAGATAATTATACACCAGACAGGTACGGCTGTGCTCGCGTTTAATATCAACAATTAACAGTCGTCACATATTATTATTATATTTTATAGTGTATTTTATTTTGTAAACTGCAGTATCTAAACTCGAAACGTAGATTATGATGATATAATGATTGACAAAGTATACAACAACATTATTATTTAGCGTATATATTGTAATATTTTATTCAATTTCATCATGTAAAACATGTATATCTAACAGCCAGSCACATGGTAGTCATGAATCATGATGTTGCTACAACATACATTTCTGCATGTAGATTCATAATATGTTATAGTGCCGTTGTCACAAAGTCATAGATTACTGTATTCATGACTACTTATACGTAAAACTTGAATAATGACAGTTCATTGAACGTTGAACCTATACGTTTAGACAAGTGTTGAATATAGGAAGGTACCTAGCTGCAGTGTTTTCATTATTATTAAAATTATAATAATATATCTATATATAACTCGCAGTTGTAAATATCGATATCGAATAATCATCAGAATTTACTTGAGAAAATATATTATGATTATTTTTCAAAATTGAAACGGATACCACACTGAAGTATTCCGATAAAGACGTAAAGTAATTGAATTATAATTTATTACATATTATTATAKTTGCAATAGATAGCAAATATTATATATTATTATGGTGTTAATTTATCTTTAAAAGATTTCTCCAATGGATTGCATCGTATATTCACAACGCATAAATCTATATGAACGCTAAAACGCATCTGCCGGAATTGTTAAATATTACTTATAACGCTCAGCACATAAAAAATAAYGTAAATACCTACCAGTTGTGCGCTAGACTTTTTATCGCACATGGTTCAATGCGCTCAAAGTTCATAACATGAATTAGCGGTACATAAATATCAGTAAAGTGTATTTGGCTGCAGTATACATTTACCAGGTAAACAAACAATGACGATAATATCATCTATGAATTAATATTAAATCAAAAATAATTTATTATAATACTATATATACATTAAAAAAATCTTGTAAAATGAGTGCAAAAATTATGAAAATGTGTRTAAGGTAACGGCACGTATATACGGTACCTTCCCCAAGCGAAAATACAAGAATTGAATTAATATCGCACTATTATACATACACGTATAAATGATAGTTGCATGCATATCATTATTGTTAGGATGTTGAATATTATATTTGCATCGGCGCTTAATTTCGTAATATCTTTCTCGAAAAACCAATTGCGTTTTGTTCGTGTAACTATATTATCGTCGTAGGTACCTATACATCACCTGTAATAATGCCGTGTTTCCCAGGAAATAAAAATGTATAATTCAATTATTTCGCCGGCAAGAATACAATTTATACGATGTTATAAATAAATTGTCATATAGTGATGCAGGTACGTACATGTATGTACGGTACACAGCCAAGCGAATATTRTTATTATATTAGGTATTATACTGCGTCGTTTGAATATAATTATATCTGCCGGCTTTTACCTTGTGGTGATAGCAATCTCATGACTTTTCATAAACAAAAACGTATATAATAAGTGCGAGCTGCATTAACGGGCCGGACATTATGTCTGGGATGTAATGTATATAATATAAACCCGTTAAACCACCCATCCGTGTTTTTTATTTTACGATTGTGTTTATTTTTTCGAAGTTTTTTTCCTTTTCCGGATATTACAATTTTTATGCCATTCTCATACACTGTGAATATTTTACAAATGTTCAATTTGTAGGACAATATTATGGTCAACCGGTTTCCGATAAATCGCTATATGGCACTACAAACTATAAATCAGCAATAATTGTCAAATGTTTGTTTTTCTCCTGTTTTTTTTTTTATTCTATAGGTTTTAAGCATATCCAAATATTATACGAATTTTGATTAGGTATTTAGGACATAGRTCGGGTAAAGTAATTTGCAAATGTGTACCCTCCCTAAATATAGGTAGTTACCATATATTATTTATATCAGATATAATATTTTATTCACTCAATATAATATTCTGACCATTGTGCACCTAGACCAAAAACATTTCATAGTGTTTGCACAATAAGTCCTTATAGTATTGTATGAAAGATTRAATCTAAAATCACTATTGTAAACAAAAAAATCTGCTTCCAAATGCTTCAACGCATCATGATATTATAATTTATTGTTAACTTAGTAGTTTAACTCAACAATATTACGATTTATGAACAATACAATTATACAATTACGGATCAATATAATATATATATACATTTATGTATAATATATAGATATCGATCTTTAATAAATAAATATTTGTCAGAAAAAAAAATTAAGATATTTATTTATAAAAAGCCACCAGAATAAAATATCTGTTAGATTTACGTTGATCGGAAAGATTATCATTTATTTTAGTTTTAATTAATTATATTTATGAGACTCTTATTAGATAAACTGCCACAGATTATTCGAGTTAAAAATTATATTTTTAATGAGACAATGACTAGTAATAAAAATGATAGTAAAAAATTGTACTTAGGTAGTTATCGGTGTTTGACGTTAAA